TTGTAAAATAGCAATTGTGTTGTGTCTCATGCTTCACACACTATAGGAAATGTCCCAACAGTGTGCACCATTACTGTAAAAGTGTGTGCCTGCATGGTATTGATAGTTTTAATGTCTTGTTTTGTGCCCCTTCACCGGAAGCCGCATGCACCTCTGTTAGTTGTTGTCTGACACTGACTCTGGATAGATAGATCAGAGTGTGCTCTGTTATAAACATGAAACCACCAACAAAGGTTCATTGGCTAATAAACCCCCTCGTTGTTAAACCACAGAAGAGTATTCAGTCAGTGCCCATCCATCTTGTCCTGCAGCTAATCTTTTTAATGTCTGACTTCAAACTCATTAACGTGCACAACAGCTCGCAGGTCTGCTGAAAGACCAACCAAACAGAGAAAGGTCAACTGACTAAGAAGATGACCTCTGACCTTTAAGTGTCATTGATGGATCTGATTGATTGGTGCTGTGGCCTCCATTACTATGCGCTGTCAATCTGATCTCCATGCAGCCCAGAATACATCCACCTGCGGAGGTTCCTGCCTTTGCACCTGTCCGTGACTCTGAATGCTTGCATGTCAGCAACTGCCATTCTGGACAGCAGGATATCTGTTTACACAGGGCAGCAGAAAGCAGGCAGCGGCACGGCCTGAGGATTAAACCATCCAGAAAGCAGTGCGGGGTGATGAAGCTGTCTATCTGTCCATCACCTGCCTGTCCTGTCACTGTCCTAACAGTTGCTTGAGTAAATATTGGCCATGAGAAGGCAAGATGGGTGTGTTACTTGTGAACACACTCATGCTTTTTTTTTTCCCTACCTCACAGCAGAAGTGCTGAGCCTCAGCAAATATTAAGAGCTCTCAGGGAGGGAAAGCATATGTTTTTTTGTGATTTTTTTTTTCCAATTACATCACCCTTCCAACTGTTAATACACTATTTTACAGTGGCATGGCTGCCTTTCTCACTTCTGAGAAAATAAACACCATTAAACATGTATAGGCCATTTCAATGTGGTCATGTCATTGGCCCATAAACATATCCTGCTTGTTATCAAACTATTTCATAAATGTAACAAGAGGCAATTCAGTCATAACTTGATGATGAAACAGCTGTCATAACATTATTTATCAATATGTGGCTCTTTTTGGATTCTCGGAAGCTATAGAAATGTAAAACAGGAAATGTGTTGGGACAATTACTTTTGTTTACATCCCTTACAATGGTCTGTACATATTTTTGTAATGGACACACATGGAGAAATTATATATATATCTAATGCCATGCCAAATTGTTATAGGATTGGCAAGGCTGTTGAATTGAGAGTAGATTTGATTGACATGATTACAAACTATATTGGCCCAGAATTCTAAGCACAGTTTGATTGTCATGCTAAAACATTTTTTAAAAATATGACTGAATTTATGCATGGGTATGTTCAATGGCAGTGGCATAGTGTATTATCAGTACACCCATTGCAGTGAATAATAAAATTGAAATCGTAATTAAAACTGTTCGTTATGTATTTATTTATTTAATGCTATTTATTTATTTATTTATTTATTTATTTATTTATTTATTTATGTACTGATATTTATTTATTTATTTATTTTTATTTGTTTTTTGTTTAAAGCTAATTATGTATTTATTTTATGCTATTTTTATTAGTTAATTAATTAATTTATTAATTTAAATGTTATTTATGTATTTATATATTTATTTATTCATTTATTTATTGTTAATTAATTAATGTATTAAATGTTATTTATTTATGTATTTAATTGTTTATTTATTTATTCATTCATTCATTCATTCAACTTTCTTTTCAGCTTAGTCCCTTTATCAATCTGGGGTTGCCATAGCGGAATAAACCGCCAACTTATCCAGCATATGCTTTTTATGCAGCGGATGCCCTTCCAGCTACACACTCATTCACACTCATATACTGCGGACAATTTAGCTTACCCAATTCACCTGTACCGCACGTCTTTGGACTGTGGGGGAAACCGGATCACCCGGAGGAAACCCACGAATGCAGGCAGAACATGCAAATTCCACATATAAACGCCAACTGACCCAGCCGAAGCTCGAATCATCGACCTTCTTGCTGTGAGGCGACAGCACTACCTACTGCACCACTGCGTCACCCATATTTATTTATTTACTGTTATTTATTTATTTATTTATTTTCATGTTAACTTTTGTTTCCTAAACCATTGCATGTTTCTCAATGAGATATAAATTTCCATATTTGTATTGTCGTCAAACTCATCGGCCACAGACTTTTGTATGTGGTTGGATACTTATTTATACATGTTTTAATATGTACTTTTTTTTAAATTAAATATTTTCACACACTTTTGCATATGTATCATTTCCTGTAGATTTTATTGATATCAATACCAATTACAGTACTCCTTACTGATACCATTTATATAGATACTGTTATTGATACTTTTTTCTACAATCTGATGCTAAAAGACAAAAAAAAAAATAAAAATGTAAAACATGTTTAAAATTTTAAGTTATGTTGAACTTTACAGCAGTTTACAAATACTTAAGCAAACAAAAGTAGGTGCATAAATACCAAGACATAATTAACTAACTTCAGTGCATTGCTTGAGCTGGATGGCATGTTTTGGTAGTAAATATTTTAAAGTATTACCAATGTTGCTACCTTTGTTCACTATTCTACTACTGCAAATGTTGCATTTTCAGACGTCCCACCCTGGAGAATCTCGTCTGAGGTACATACTCCCAAAAACTTATAGTGTCAATAATTAATTAACATTTTGGGGCTCATTTTAAAATTAGGTCATACTTTATATTGATAGACCATTTGTAAAATTTAGGTTACATTGCATCTACATGCCAACTAAAGATCAGTTTTGTTGTTGTTGTTGTTGTTGTTTTTTTTTTTTTTTTTTACTGTTTGTTGTAACATCATTATTAAATCAACATTTTAAATTACATTTATTTATGATTTTTTTATTGTTTTCAGCCTATGTTTTCATGAACTTGCATTACCATTTGAATACACAAATCTTCCCCAAGGTTGTATATATAATATCTAAATAAATGCCAAGATCTAGCTGTTGATTCAAGTACATCTTTATCTAACAGAAAGTTTGTTGGAGTGAAACCATTCTATTAGATATTCATGACAATCAAGATGTGATGTCATTGCCCCCCCCAAAAAAAAGAAAAAAAGAAAAGAAAAAAAAGTCCTGGTCCTAAAAAGATACATTTTCTGTACCCATTTCTGATTTTATTGCCTCCATTTTTAAAAATTCAAATAAAATGCTGGTAAAAATGTTCTTAATCAGATGACATTTCATCTGTGGTTCAAACCAGAGCATTATCTAACATGTATGCACACCACTTGGGAGGAACCCAGGCAAACCCTAGTCAAATCCCAGCTTTGATCCACTGCCTTTCATAGAAAGCTTATGAACCATGTCCATCAATGCACTTCAGAAATGCTTCTTTCCTCTTCAGTGGAAGCCTGCTCTCCTTGCATAATTCACTAGTATATGGCTTGTGTAAAATCAGTGTGTTCCCTCTCTTCCAGCCTTCCAACAGGGCAAGTAGCTGCTAAAGTAATGGCTTACGGTAATAGCGGGTCAATCAGACGGCACAATTAGAATGAGTTTTTAGTGCAGTAGAAATCACTGTAAAGAATTCAATATTGTGCAAGTCTTTACTCATAATTCCTCCATCTAGTGGAGAGGCTTTTAGGAGCTTTCCCCAGCTTTAAAGAGACGCAGTGCAATAATGAATGACTTTCATTTTGTGCTGCCATTGTCATATTCTTTTCTAACACACACTCTGTGGTTTTAATATAGCATAGTTGTATTCATATTAGATAGTAACATGTGCATTACTTGACATTGCCATTATATCAATAGAGGACAAAGCGTTCTTTAGTTAATGGCCTCTGTATTGTTCCTTTACTGTAGCAGTAAAAGTGAAATAAGGAACATTCAGAGCACTCAGGTTATTGCAAAATACAAACACACACACATAGCAATCGCCTTTATGTCCATGGTTCAGGGAAAGAGTGCAGTGGAAAGAGAAGCTTTCGCTTTTAAACCAGTTGCCATCCTCTCTTAACTCACAAAATGGTTTGTGAAAAAGCCAACATTGCTTACAGCTGTCTCAATGTGGTTTCAAAGCCTGCCTGAGAGTACTGTGAACTGAAGCTCCCTCTTGTCTGTGCCACCCCAGGGAATGTACCTCTCTCCGTGAGGGCAGTGTTTTTCAAAGAAATACTATTCCCACATGATTTCCTTCTGCCTTCATAGTTGGGTATTTCATTTGAAAACAAAAGAGTATCAATAAAAAGCTTGCAGGACTCTTTAGAGCCGTGCTTGTGAGGTACATGGCTTCTCTCACCCGTATTATTATCTTTTATGATGAAATTGTTTGTGTTTAGTAATTTATCATGTGAGTTTTTGCAGAATGTCTTTGAAGATTAGAGGCAATTTGACCAAATTATACATTTGAATTGGATAAACTGGTCTCTAGAGACACTGGTTGTTTTCACTTGAACACTTAAAAGTGCAAAGTGTAATTGATCTGTTCCATCCCCAAAGTATCGGTTCTTCTTATTTTGATGGTCTCAGAGTTAATGGAGGGAGAAAAGGGACACTTTTGTTTTCTTTTATCTGTCAGGTGGAAATTGGCCAGTGGTTCTCGATAATAGCAATATGTCACAGGAACTGAAGGGAAGAAAAACAGTGTGCAAAATAATTTGATGGTAAGCTAACAAAGTTATTTGTTTGCTTTCCACAGTTCCAGAGACATTTGAGTGAGACGTTAGGGAAATAAATTTGATATGAATTATTCCTTTGAGCTGTATGATTTTGCACACATACGTATCAGGCATCTTGTATGATACAAATCATGTCTTCATTACTTTAACACTTGTTTCAAATATTGCTTTTCCAATTTAAAGAGTCTATGAGCATCAGTCAATGCTTATTTTTTCTCTTTTTTGTCCTATCCAGGGTCTACCTCTGGGCCCATAAATGAGACTAAAATGGTGGGAGAGAAGAAAAGACAAGAGGATGAAATCCATCAACAATGCTCTTCCCTGGGGAAATAAGCACAGGCCATTTTGAATTGGTGAAACACTACAACAGCTCTCCATTGAAGATTTAACCTGTATATCCATAAGCTATGGTCAGTGGGTTGGGATATCAGTGCAGACACCCCCAACTCATGTGAAATCTTCCTCTGGACCAGAGACTGAACTTTTTGTTCCTTGGTTAAAGGGAAAGGGTTTATTATCCTGCTCAAATACTGTGAGGCTCCATCCAGCCTAGTTTAAACTCAAGTGGTACCCCCAAGCATCACTCATGGCTTCCAGGAGGGCATCAGAGGCTTGTTATGGAGGCATGGTAAAGAGTGCCTTCTTCTGGTCTGTGGCCATAATATGTCTGACTTACATGGGTGGAGTGAAGGGAGACTGCTGGCTCATAGAAGGTGAAAAGGGCTTTGTATGGTTGGCCATATGCAGCCAAAATCAGCCACCCTATGAGGCCATCCCTCAGCATATCAACAGCACCATAGTGGACCTTCGCTTGAATGAGAACAAGATCAAGAGTATCCACTACTCTGCCCTCAGCCGCTTTACCAACCTCACATACCTGAATCTGACCAAGAATGAGATTAATTACATCGAGGATGGAGCTTTTTCGGCCCAGTTTAATTTGCAGGTTCTCCAGTTAGGCTTCAATAAGATGCGTAACTTGACTGAAGGGATTCTCAGGGGATTGGGCAAGCTGCAGTACCTCTACCTCCAGGCCAACCTGATTGAGACTGTGACACCCAATGCCTTTTGGGAGTGCCCAAACATTGAAAACATTGACCTTTCTATGAACCGCCTCCAGGTGTTAGATGGGTCTACCTTCACCAGCCTGACTAAGTTGACCACCTGTGAACTCTACACAAACCCTTTCAACTGCTCCTGTGAGCTCTTGGGGTTTGTAAAGTGGCTGTCTGTCTTTCCCAACCGGACAAGTGAGCGGATGGTATGTGACTCTCCTGCAGGGGTCTCAGGCTACAGTCTTCTAAGCCAGAATCCGACCAATCCCACATACCGGAATGCTCTGCATATGCTGTCCACTGTGTGCACGGAGGATTATGTGACTCCGTATATATCTGTGCCTCCTGATACCACCACTTTCCCTCCGGACTCCACACCATGTGGGCTTGAAGACTGTCCCTCAGGTACTGAGCCGGAGGAAATCAGCATAAGTCCCACGTTCCTAGATTTAGATGTGAAACCAATCATGAAACTCAAACAAGTGTCTCACACGAACGCAGTAATCACTGTTCAGATCCCTTACCCCTACAAGAAAATGTACATCCTTGTGTTGTACAACAACAGCTTCTTCACTGATATACAGAATCTGAAGCGACAGAAAGAGGACATTGAACTAAAAAACCTGAAACCCCACACTGATTACACCTACTGTGTGGCTTCAATAAGAAACTCATTGCGATTCAATCATACTTGCCTGACACTATCTACTGGGCCTAAGAATGGAAAAGAGCGAGTAGCAAGTAATGCAACTGCCACTCACTACATAATGACTATTTTAGGATGTCTTTTCAGTATGGTAATCGTTTTAGGCATTGTGTATTATTGTTTGCGGAAAAAGAGGCAACAAGATGAAAAGCACAAAAAGGCAGGCAGCCTAAAGAAGAACATAATCGAGCTTAAATATGGGGGTGAGCTGGAAGGTGGGACAATATCAAGGATGTCTCAAAAGCAAATGATGGCTGGGGAGAGCATGACTCGGATGCCCTACCTACCGTCCGGCAGTGAAATGGAACAATACAAACTGCAAGACATCAGCGACACACCGAAAATGGCCAAAGGGAATTATATGGAAGTGAGAACAGGGGAGCATCCGGATCGAAGGGATTGTGAGATGTCCATGGCTGGCAATAGCCAAGGTTCGGTTGCAGAGATCTCGACAATTGCAAAAGAAGTGGACAAGGTCAACCAGATTATTAATAATTGTATTGATGCTCTAAAATCAGAATCCACATCCTTCCAAGGGGTGAAGTCTGGTGCGGTGTCAACTGCTGAACCTCAGTTGGTACTCATTTCAGAGCAGCCTCAGAGCAAGTCTGGCTTCCTCTCACCTGTCTACAAGGACAGCTACCACCACTCTTTACAAAGACATCATGCATCAGACGCCTCTCCGAAACGTCCCAGTACAGCTACTGGAGGTTCAATACGAAGCCCGAGGCCTTATCGTTCAGAAGGGTCATACAAGTCAGAATCAAAGTACATAGAGAAGACTTCACCCACAGGAGAGACTATCCTGACCATCACGCCTGCAGCTGCAATACTAAGGGCAGAGGCGGAAAAGATCCGCCAGTATAGTGAGCATCGGCATTCTTACCCTGATGCCCACCAAATTGAGGAGCTGGAAGGACCAGAAAGCCGGAAAACCTCTATCTTAGAGCCTCTGACTCGGCCTCGGGCAAGAGACTTGGCTTACTCACAACTCTCTCCCCAGTATCACAATCTCAGTTACTCGTCTAGTCCTGAGTACTACTGCAAACCATCACACAGCATCTGGGAGCGCTTTAAACTCCATCGCAAGCGACACAAAGACGAGGAGTACATGGCTGCGGGCCACGCTCTAAGGAAAAAAGTGCAGTTTGCAAAGGATGAAGACCTGCATGACATTCTAGATTACTGGAAGGGAGTATCGGCCCAACAAAAATCTTAATCTTCTCAAGTGTTTGTTTGTGTCTTTTCCATTTTTGATGGACCACAAAGGATCAGGACCATAATTAATCTTTAATCTAGTGAAATCAAATTCTAAAGGATAAATATTACACCACAGAGATTTTCAACTTAGGGAAAAAGGTTTGTGTACCAAAATGAAAAGATGTTACTTAAAGCAACAAGATGAGAATATATTGCAAATATAAAATATATATATATATATATATATATATGTTGAAACGGATTTTTATTATTTGATTACCGCATGGCCAAGTCCTGTGACAGTGGATTTGCTGTTGTGTACTGTGAGACTAAAAAGAATCCAACAGTGACAGACATCTTCTGAAATCTTAGTATTTCTTCTGCAGGACCACTGTAATTTATGGACCTTTTTTTCCCAATGTTTCAGTTTGATCTAAAAACAAATGAACTATGTACAGATACTGTTTCTATATTTGCAACGTTTGCTGTTGAAAAAAAATGAGAAAAAAAAAAACAAACAAAACAAATATATAATGTGTATGATTCAGGTTTAGACCATGGATTTTGGAGTTAGCTCCTGTGATATTATCTGTCCTTAAATGAATGTTTACCGTCCTGATGGATAAACATTGCACTGGTCAATGAAATGACATATTTTCCTTTAGGCCACAGTTTACGCTACCCTGCTTTGCCAATTTTTCTTTCCGATCCATGCCACTGATCAGACCGCACAATATTACACAAAGGCTGATATGATGTTACATTTGTGTATCATGACCACAAAGTGAATCAGTGTGGTTGGGGTTGCGTAGATGAAACATCTGCATACACGATTGCAGTGTCAAAGTTGAAGAAAATGAAAAGCAATGGAAAAGTAGACCGTTTAGATGTAGTTGTTTACCAGTAAAGCGATCCACAAAACACGCACTTCTGCTTTGACCTTACGATGCCTAATAGTAATGAGGGGTTTTCTGATCATGAACCAAAGTGCTTGGGTGGCAGCTCATCACACATTTTATTTTCTGCAGATGTTTCCATCAATCTCGAGCCAACAGCCCTACGGATGAATGTATTACATGCATAACGCAGCCTTTTCAGCTGCAGTTTCTTTGTTGTTTTTTACAACCACATGATCCCCATTTTTCATGCTGTATGCTAAGTTTTGATATTCATACTTTTCAGTTTCATGTATTTGTCGTTTGTCAACAATATTCAATCAATGAGAAAAAAATATGTTTATATACTTAAGGGTGTTGTTTTAGGCTTTTCTACTGTTTGGCGGGTAAAAATGCTTTTGTAAATGTTGAATGGCACTGCACGGACCCTGCAATGATCAATGCTGATCAGGAAGGTGAGACATGATTGAGAAAGACTACAAAACCCAGCCAAACTGTTGCCACTGGATTTGTACATCATCTAGTGCAGGAAGTAACGGGGTTGTCCAATTTCTTATTTTCGTTTTTTTTTTTTTTTTCTTGCTTTTTTTTTTTAAACCGCCTTAAACTTCTGGAAAATCTGTATAAATGTATTTTCTTTCTTTGAGTGTTGATGTTTTTGAAAAAAAAGTCTTCATCTGTTGTCATTTTTTTAAAAAGACAATACATTTCAGTAGATTTCAAGAGCTGTCAGGTTTATAGGTAATCTAACAAGTAACCTACATGTTTTTTATATTGCATAGTGTAGCACTCCTGTATCTCATTCAACTTAGAAATGTTGGGAAATCTGTGAACGGAGAGCATCAGATACAAACAAGAGCACAATGAGTGTTTTTTTGTATTTCTTAAAACTATGTTACCTGCTTTCAAACAAATTACTGTGAAATAAAGGAAAGGGTGCACCCATAATGTCAAGATCTTCATGATAACATTTCTTTGGAGTTCTTTGCTTTTACTTTGTTCCACTTAAACACTTACAATGTGTTCACAAAGCAATGAATGCATATTTATAAGTGGTTTAGATGTAAAATGTGGTGTCTTGGTATATTTTTAATATGAAAGCAGTGCAATAACAATCATAGCCCACCCCTAATGAATAAAAAAAAGTATATTATTAACATTTATTGGATGCTCAGGAAAAGTATCTACAATTTGCTTGCAATTATCAGTTAAACTGAACACTAGGGGCAGTAAAACATACAACTTGTCCTTTTTTAACAAAATTTACAGTTATGAAGCAGATTATTGATTCAGTGAAGACCCCTTTCCATACACTTCTTCAATAATGTCCTTTTAAACATAAGTATTGAATAATAAACAGCACATTCAGTACATTATTAACACAAAATAAACACAGACAGGTTCATGTGTCACCCCATAAGCAGAACATAACATCCAGCAAGCTGCAAAGTCAAACTAAATGCACATTTAAGGGATATGGAATAGTAATACCACAAACACAGCTTTTCTCTTTATACACATTGGCTTTAAATTTTTACTCTCATCAATAAGTATTTGAACTAATAAATACAGGTTTTATCTAAAACCTGTTTAATAAACTACCTGTTTTATGTAATAATATTTTAGAGCAAATAAAGCAGAGAACAAGAAACACAGAAAAAAATATCCCATTACTATTAATAAAGAAGATGTCATTTTATATAAACTAACTATAGCCATTATGCAAGAAGGCAAAATTAATAGTACAATTATAAATAACAAGAAATGAGCATGCAATGCATGGGTGACATAATCAAAGGACCAAATGTATATTGTGTGTGGTGAGTTATTTTCAATATGAAAACCAATATGATAATAATAATAATAATAATAATAATAATAATAATAATAATAATAATAATAATAATAATAATAATGCCTTACATTTATATAGAACTTTTCTAGACACCCAAAGCTCTTCACACATTGGAAGGAATCTCCTCATCCACCACTAGTGTGCAGCATACACTTAGATAATGCAACGGCAGCCATTTTGCGCCAGACCGCACACCACACACCAGCTGATTGGTGGAGAGGAGAGTGATGAAACCAATTATGCTTAGGAGGCCATTCTTAAACTGTTTTCCGACTGACATCCTGGGATTTTTAATGACCATAGAGAGTCAGCACCTTGGTTTAATGTCTCAAACAAAAGACGGTGCTCACTGAGTAGTATAGTGTCCCCTTCACTTTAATGGGGCGTTAGGACCCACACAGATCGCAGGTTGAACACCCCCTACTGGCCTCACTAACACCACTTCCGGCAACAACCTAGCTTTCCCATGTGGTCTCCCATTCAGGTACGGATAGGGCACAACCCTGCTTAGCTTCAGTGGGCAACCATGTTAGAGTTGCAGAGAGCTAGCTGTCAGCTAACCTAATGTGTATACATATTCAGGGTATGAATTAAGAAGGGCCCCATGGGAGTGTGTTTGTGCCCATTCATTCATTCATTTTCTTTTTGGCTCAGTCCCTTTATTACTCTAGAGTCACCATAGCGGAATGAACCACCAACTTATCCAGCATGTTTTTACGCAGCGGATCCCCTTCCAGCTGCAACCCATCTCTGGGAAACATCCACACACACTCATTCACACTCATACACTATGGACAATTTAGCCTACCCAACTCACCTGTACCGCATGTCTTTAGACGGTGGGGGAAACCGGAGCACCCAGAGGAAACCCACGCAAACACAGGGAGAACATGCAAACTCCACACAAAAATGCCAAGTGACCCAGCCGAGGCTCAAACAAGCTAAATAATCAATAGGGTATGCAAAAAATAAAACCAAAATAAAAACATGATATTATGAAATTTTTATGATTATCATGATTATCACTACATTCAAGTATGATTTTTTTATCTATTCATTTTTTGCAGTACACTTGCTATTTATTAGGATTGTAATTCACTATATATTCAGTATAAGTAATTGTGAGTGGGGAAAAAACTTAAATTTAATAAACCCACAATACTGACTTGTGTACTCTCAATTCTGACTATTTCCTTCTGAATTTTAAGAATTGTAAATTCTTCTTTGACCGACTGGGATTAGGATTGGGGCATATTAAGCAATTAAAAAAAAAAGTGTCCTAGGAGAGAAAAGAAAAAAAAGAAAATCCATATTGTTGTTATAATTAATAATTAACTAGTATTAATAATACACTAGTGTGTGTTTAAATCAGTCAGTGAATAAGAAATTGTTAGAATTGTGAGAAAAAAAATGTCTCAGTTACTTTTTTTTATAATTCTTTATAAGATTTAATTCAATACATGTCTACTTATTCTATTTAAAATAACAATGAACACCAGATTGCTCATAGCAGCGAAACATTGGCCTTTAGTCTTGACCAGAGCTTTTGCTCACACTTGCACAGTGAATGTGACTAACAGACTCATATAGAGATTAACAAATACAACAAACATAAATAGAAAATAGAGTCTCTATACGTGAATAGAGTCCTTTACTGGGTGGGAACCCTGGACTGAAGCAAATAATGGTATATCCGGCCCAGATGAAAATGCTTTAACCTAGCACCACCCATTTTATTTGCTTTGTATGCTATTATGCATAAATCAATTTAATAAAACACAACTGCTGCTTTTCCATTCCTGAAACCATAATTTTTGCACCACTAGACATTTCACATGAAAACTGCCTTATAACAGGCAAGTCAAAAATAGAAGTATTCAGAGTGTTCCCTGTTCATATTAAGTGTGGATTGGTGACACATGAATTAACATGCATCAGAGATTTGATTAATTGCATTATCTGTATGTAATAAATCATACTAAATTGGCTAGTCAAATTAACAGCCAAAACATTGACATTTGAAAGGCCTGAATGTGCTAGCTAGCTTGTCACAGTAAATAGCAGCATTCCCCCTTTTTTATTATTACTTTTTTTTCAGTTTATAAACATAATCAAAATGTCCTGACACCATAACAGACTTAATGAATACCTATACTGAAATGATAATGAAGGAAAATCTGGTGATAAAATGGTATTGGGGATTCAATAACTAATCCCTTCATGTGTGAAATTTCATTGTTCCAAGTCAGATTAATGTGTTAGTTTCATGAAAAATTCACTTACTCCTTGGCTTTATATTATGAGATGATGTATGGTGGCAGTTAAATATAAGTGTTTTTGTAGAATGAACGCTGACTGAAAGAAGTGTGATGCATTTGAACAGCATTTTATTTTGTGTCCCAGCCAGGCATTCCTATCTCAAGGTCAATGTTTTTTACACAAATGCCTATATTTGCTCTAATGACCCACATCTTTGAAAAATAGATCCTGCCATCTGCAAATAGATTGTGAGCAGTGAAAATCACATCACGGTTTGATTTTTATTTATTTATTTATTTATTTTTTGTGTGTGTGTGTGTGTGTGTGTGTGTGTGTTACATCAAAAATAAGCCACGTCAAATATATTTTAAGAGTTCACACTTAGATATGCTCGGCATTAATAGCGTGTTTAGCATGCTGTCCTGGAAGATCTGAGATCAGGTAGGTCTCGAGAGCTCCCCTTAGAAGAGGGAAGAAAGGGAGGAGATGGGGTGGAAGAATCAGGGTATCTTCCGTCCAATCCATATCCGTTTTCAAACAAAAAAAGGAAAATTAAGAAAACGGTCATTTTTCCGGAAGAAAGTACAAGATGAATCGTGTGCATCACTTACAGGTAACTTCCATGAATCCGGAAAACTTATTTTTGGTGGTTCAAGTAAACTAGTGAGGCTAACGTTTAAACTTCTTCACAACTGCTATGCATTGTGCTTTAAACAGGACATGTTCTATGACTTTTCGTGTTTGCCCCTCTTCCCCATGTTGCTGATAGTTTCCGAACTCAATTATTGTTATTAACTGGTGCAATGCTTCAAAATTCTGCTTGCACACCAGCAACTGTACATACACATGCACTGCACAATAATTTCACTCTATGTATTATTTAATATTATATAGTTATTATTATGGTGTATAATTATATATTATTTCATTCTTTGAAGACTGCTTATCATTGTTTATTGTTTTATCTATTTCTTTACATTCCTTATTGCTGCTGTTGTTATTGCTTGTTATATATTTTAAGAGTTCACACTTAGATATGCTCGACATTAATAGCGTGTTTAGCATGCTGTCCTGGAAGATCTAAGATCAGGTAGGTCTCGAGAGCTCCCCTTAGAAGAGGGAAGAAAAGGAGGAGATGGGGTGGAAGAATCAGGGTATCTTCCGTCCAATCTATATTCGTTTTCAAACATGTTGTCCACAAGAAACGAAACAAATTTTGGCTCGATGTTCTTTTTTTGTTTATTTAGGGTAGGAAAATGGATAAACGACTTCAAAATTCATTATACATATGTAGGCGGTGCTGAAACACCAACTTTCCTTTGATTGGTTAACCAAATCTGAGCTCGTGACGTAGCCCTCAAAATAAGAGCCCTCTGTGGACATGCACCCAGGCTTTTAACTATTATTATTATTTAATTATATATATAAACTAAGTTTACATATTGTGTTATTTGTTCAGTTAGCAGGCTTACATTCATTGCATAAATTAAATAAAAAACGTAAATTTGCGGTATAATTAGACATTTGTCATTAAAATAAGGTCAGATCGCAGCCAAACGTACTGCTGCTGTGCACCTTATGCTCAGAAATAATAGCCATTTAAATTTCCAATAACTGATTTATTTTATCTTTGCCATGATAATAAAAAACAATTTAAAATGTTCTATTAGATTTTGATTCAATATTTGTATTTTAGGCCAAATCGCACAGCACTATTGAGTGCATATATTTGTAAATCTGACCCCAAAAGAGTCTCGCCAGCCACAAACCTCACCGCAAGTCCCTGACGCATATATTAAATTCATATTATCATTTGGAAGCTTAACTTTAAAACAACACCAATA